GAATTATGATATTTTAATTTCTAGTTTTATTTTAGAAAACACAAGTAATAACACAATTTTTCAAGATATTGCAAAAGTTGGAGAGAGGAGGGGCGAGAGGGAGGGGGGATGTTTCCCCGGTGCCCTGTTCATGGGGAATACTGCAATAAATAGTTCCTATCCCTAACGATATATGGTGTTTTCCTATTTGAGAAAATCTGGGTTATTCATCACCAGAGTTTGCCCTGCCCACTTACTGATGGCTAATTTTTCTGACAGTGGACAAAACAAAATTTGCTTTATATATTACAGTTTTTTACCATTGAACTGACAAACTTAACCTATGTACAACAATTTGGTAAAAAAATTATTTTGAATCTACAGTGATCACCTCAATGCATAAATATGTATGTCAATGTTTTTTGCATGTAAATAGATATCCCAAAGTTGATGGTAGACCATTATGTAGATGTAGGTTTAAAAATAATAAAAAGAATTTAAATATATATACCCAAAGCAATGCAATGCTTAATAAAGGCTACTCAATACAGTTTTATAAAAGTCTTTGGATTTTTTTAATATTTTTTTAAAATTTATTACACAGCTAGACTTTTTGGCCAATCTAGGATTTGCAAGAAATTATAAGCTGTGATTCAATCACACAATTAGCATACAACAAATTCCTCAAAAAATCTGCAACTTTTTAGCAACAAAGTTTATTCCCACAAAGATAGAGGGAATGATAACATCATGAATTTGTAAATGGTATGAAATTAGAATATTTCCATATAATTCAAAACAAACTGACCCTAGCTCCCTGCAGAAACTGAATTAGACTCTTCTATAGTATCATCGTTATAGAACATGACTTTTTGGCTTTTTTTTCAGTTTGCAAAAAGTGTGATTCCTAATTTCTCTGATGAATTGGAAAGCACAAACAATGAACTGGTTTCAAGATGGTGAACCATCGATCGACTTTCTATGTTTCTGTGGGTCCTTTTTTCAGCCAAATTTTCCTTTTAACGAATGTTCAATTTAAAGTTTTCCATTTGTATAGTTCATTAAATTTGCTGATATCGTATTTTTTATTTAAAATTCTACTTGCAATAAGTGTAACTCCTAATTACTCCGACGAATAGGAAAGCGTAAATAATTAGTTTGTTTCAAGATGGCGAACCAGCAATCGACTTTGTCAAAGGTTTTTGTGAGGGCGGGACCAAATTTTCCTTTTAATTAACTTTTCTGTTATTTTTAATCATGATGTCGTGTTTTTTTATTTAAAATACAACAAGCAAAAATTGTGATTCTTAGTTTCTCTGAGTTGAAAAGAAATGTAAACTAAACAGTGAGATCCATAGTGTCTTGGCTGTGAATACTTTTTTCAACCTAATTACTATTCTATTTAATTTTTTAATTAAGGTAGCTCATAAAATTTTAACTTTCAAAAGTATATTTAGTTTAATAAATGTACTGGTCGTAGTTATGTCGATGTACTCTCTAAATGTTTGAGGTCGCATCTTCCCATCTTCTTTGCTTTTGTGTTATTTGAACTAGGTTCACCTAAATCAAAATCACTGTCATCCCCATCTTCACTTGTCCAATCATCGTCATAAATTTGTTCTAAATTTTCAAAAACATCTGCAAATTCGCTGTTGTAACTTTCTGGATATTCAATAACATGCGAGGAAGCCATCTTGAAAACAAGCTGTACCACCGATTTACATAATAACAAACAGGCCACACAGCAAAGATAGGTAAGTTCATGAGAAGTGGCCTAATTTGCATATTCTCAAATTAATCTCGTTAACACAAATCACAAAAATCAGGAGATTTCGTGCAAATAAACAATCTGAGATAAGATGTGATTCAACCTAATTGGAAAAGAAATGACCGAGTTGCATGTCCCTTTTTCTAGTGTCTTTTATATAAGCCAACTCCAGTATAGTCCATCTTGATTTAAGTGATTAAAATAACTTCTGCCCACCTGGAATCATACATTTCTTATACTCGTTTGTAATATTTTACTTTCACTATATCTAACCTACTTTTAATTGCGTTCCAAACAAGGTCAAGGTCACCAAGGACTGCTTCATTTGCAATATTCCACCGGGATCTCAAAATAAATTTACCCAGTTCTCAGCAATTTTTCTAATGTTTCTATATCTGATGTACTTAGAGAGTGTATGTACCAATGAGAGAAGTACCGGTACTACATTATTCCATATCCTCGGGCGGAGCTACGTCACGGACGTTCTACGTTGCTAAGACGCGCACCACTGTACCACGTATTTCTATGGGCTTTGTGCGTGCTGCCCAGGAACGTCGGTGGAGCCGGTGAAAACTCGAGAAAACAACACAAACTCAACTTTGAAGTAATCCTGAACAACCAAATTCATATATGTTACACACGTAGGGTTAATCTTGTTACACTGTTCAGGGGACTCTCAACAACCACCGCAAAGTACCGTTTTCTGCGGGTTTGGGGTCTTTGTTTTCACCGCGAGGGTTGCCAGGCGGTAGAAAATGCCTGGATGTCCGCCCCCGAGGATTGACAAACCCTCTCATTGTATGACGCATAATCAACCAAACTTATCTATTAATTATATTACATATATGTATGTGAAAAAAATGGATTACGGACCATATTTTTGAGATAATTTTTTTGTGACTAGAACTATATTTCTGAAAGGGGGACCTGAAAGGGGGACGAATTTGGGGGGTGAAAGATACATCATAGTTTTCATAGCGTGTCCAATGCTAATACAATGGCAATATATTGTTAATAGAACTTCTGCAAATGTTTGGGAAACGTTTGATATTTATCCACTCCAATAAAAGGTACAAAATACACCACAGTCTATATTTTATGCACAGATTAAATTACTATTATTTTGCATTCATGTTCCAAGAATCTCTAGGTATTTTGTACATCATTCTTGTTCTCAGGCTTCTCTTGAGTTTTTTGGTGTTAACAAAATGTCGTACACCAAGCTACCAGTAACACATGATGTATATAGGCTGTTATATTAGCATTCTTCAAAACATGTCTGAATCACAGATAAATTTGTAACTCATTTTACCCCTATTGCTACCATAAACAGTTTACAGTACCTGTGTGTTCAAAATTCATGTAAACAAACAATGTTTCACAAACATGTTGTATACTACACATATAAAACACAAAGCAGCAATGCCCCTTCAGCTACTAGCATCATTTGAAATAGAGGCCAAGGGGATTTGCACTTTGACAGATGTTCATAAATCTGTTTTGAGTCGACGAACAACTAACCAGGATCACAGGTGTTGCAATGCTATATTACACAGTGTGAACAAATACTGGTGATCTTTTTTTTTACATTGTGTGAACTAAATAATACTGTACTGTACTGTAGGAGAAGACATAGCCACTGGATAATAGCAGATTACAGCGATTACACCACCAAGATTTTAAATTTCCACAAATTTACAAAAGATTTCAATTAGATTCAGTAGAAACTAGTCCAATGCGTACTTTTATTCAAATACACATAGACCGTAGTGGCATTATTTAACCGGACCTTATATTCACGCATATTGTGTGATGCGTACCAACACTGGTTAGCGGCCTGGATAGTTACAGAAATGATAAACAATGATATCAACTCTAGACATGCGTACTTTATACAATTACTGACTGCTCGGATTAAAGAATTACAGACAAGGGTCTATATTATTTATTTTCGAGAATGACAGTGGCACTAGAGGCAGGGTAACGCGATAAAATGATGAAATATAATACTGTTACACTAAGGTGAACATTGATATAATCCACATATACAAGCGTAAAAGTCAAACTCTACCATAGAAGACGTCTCAATACACGATATCAAACAAACGAATCTATCAGGGAAGTTAACAGTTACGAGAATATTGACTGAAATGAGCTGTATGTCTACGATCACAACAACGTCTATGAACAAAATTTGTGTCGGCTGGCCATACCATATTATATCAGACTATCCCTGCCTCATACCGTTTCGGAAACTGAATTGATGGGAAAACGAATCTGTTGGTCGTACTTTCATCAAAATACATCAAGGGTAAACTTTAAACCTAACGAGAAGAGAAAGATGAGTTGAAAAACTCACGTTGCGTTTCTTCTGCTTGGGTCTTCTGGCCGCCATTTTGGTGATACACGTATTTGGGCCCTCTAACTGTATGATAATAATTTTCTTCTCTCGAGTTCACAGGCACTTGAATCAAATACGTCTGTGAACGCGAATAAATGATTTGTTTACACATTGACTATACTATTATATAAACATGTGGTTTATGTGTAAAAACAAAACAAGCAAACAACTATCTATTCTCGTTTAGAGTCATACATATTATTTTAAGTTTATCATGTGGGCTCAGAGCCGATTTAAAATACTTTATTTTAGCTGGAATTATTTTTCGCTTAATAGACTTTTTAGGTGTTTTGTATGGAATTTATTTTCACTAATTTTTGACGAGTTGAATGTAAAATATAGGAAAAAAGCATATTCACTGGATTTTATTTTCACTGAATCATTCTTTCAGCGAAAATATTGAAAATTAATTCCAATCGAAAATAAAGTATTCCACAGTAGGGGGTCTGTGGCAATTTACTCGTGCACAATACTTGACCCATTTATTGCTTCACTAGCAATGTTTTACAGTAGTTTTGTTAAATCGTGGTCCTAAACACGTATTCTGTTCACATGCAAATTAACACAATAACATTTTTTTACTCCTTCGTATGTGGAATAAACAATTTTGACACATCCCTGATCATAATTACCAAACACGCCTCTATTTATTATTATTATTATTATTATTATTATTATTATTATTATTATTATTGTTATATATTATTATTACAGTAATATTTTGATAGCTGTGTCCATTTACGTGTCAGAATGCATTACGAATTATTATAATCTTATTATTACGACTAAATAACTCGTTGTAACGAGGAGGTATCCTGTTCATTACGAGTTAAATACGACGACCTCATTAAAACAGTTACTAGTAGTATCTCGTTATAACGAGTTAATATCACATTGTAACGAATTAGTATCCCATTTTAACGGGTTAGTATCCCATTGTAACGAATTAGTATCCCATTTTAACGGGTTAGTATCCCATTGTAACGAATTAGTATCCCACTGTAACGAGTAAGTATGTCGTTATGGCGAGTTAGTATCCCATTGTAACTAATTAGTATCATATTGTAACGAGTAATTATCTCGTTATGACGGGTTAGTATTCCATTGTAACGAATTAGTATCCCATTGTAACGAGCAAGTATCTCGTTATGACGAGTTAATATCCCATTGTAACGAATTAGTATCCCACTGTAACGAGTAAGTATCTCGTTATGGCGAGTTAGTATCCAATTGTAACGAATTAGAATCTCGTTATAGCGAGTTAGTATCCCATTGTAACGAATTAGTATCCCATTGTAACTAATTGGTATCCCATTGTAACGTGTAATTATCTCGTTCTGACGAGTTAGTATCCCATTGTAACGTGTAATTATCTCGTTATGACGAGTTAGTATCCCATTGTAACGAATTAGAATCTCGTTATAGCGAGTTAGTATCCCATTGTAACGAATTAGTATCCCATTGTAACGTGTAATTATCTCGTTATGACGAGTTAGTATCCCATTGTAACGTGTAATTATCTCGTTATGACGAGTTAGTATCCCATTGTAACGAATTAGTATCCCATTGTAACGTGTAATTATCTCGTTATGACGAGTTAGTATCCCATTGTAACGTGTAATTATCTCGTTATGACGAGTTAGTATCCCATTGTAACGAATTAGAATCTCGTTATAGCGAGTTAGTATCCCATTGTAACGAATTAGAATCTCGTTATAGCGAGTTAGTATCCAATTGTAACGAATTAGAATCTTGTTATAGCAAGTTAGTATCCAATTGTAACGAGTTGATATTATTTTATTTTATTTTTTTATATTTCAGTACCATTGGCCATAGGCCATAATGTACACACTTAAAGAGGAACCGCTCAATCCCATGGATTGCACCAAAGAATCATGGAACACTATTGTTTATGTTGTTTACAATGTTAATCTATCTTTTGTTATCCAGTGTTATTTTAATCCAGAAAGTAAATTTGTTGTGAGATTAGGCTTAGCTGGAAGGTGCCCCTTTAAATGTAACACAAATAAATAAATAGATCGTTTGACACAAATAACCACTGCTACTACTTGTCTGAATATTACAAACTTATACTTCACCTATGAATACCAACAAAACATGACGTTTTTGTAAAGAGTAGAATACGTATTTTGCAAGATTTTGTATTGTATGTGTATTTTCAGATTGCAGTAGCAAAATAAATGTCCTTTCAAGCGCTGGGCAATAGTAAAACTTGTGTATAAAACGAGTTCTAATTTCCTCAAATTTGGGACATTG